TGTATGCATGTATCATTTTTGTATTAGAAGTTATGAATATTGGCTATGTACTTGTTTGATTTTAAGTAGCCTCACTGAAGCATTTGGTCAGCTTCTTGAGAAAAGACGATTCTCAGTAAGTGCCCAATCAAGAAAGACTTAAGATGACAATGGACTTTGAAAGACACCAATCCACATCTGAGCTTTCCTGGGAACGGGCTAACAGTGTAAACCATGGCGTCAGCCTGTAAAGAACTGAGTCATGCATGGACATGTGACTTGCCCATGTGACTCCAAAACTCCATCTTGTAGCTGATGCTGCTGCATAGGAAAACACAAGGGGTTTCCACCCACAAGAGAGAGACTATATAAAGCCCTGGGAAATCCCTCCATTTTTCTTCAGCTGGCACAAAAGATAGCCTCTTCACCCCAAGGAGATGCCTGAAAGAAACTGGAACAAAGGACAGTAACTACAGGGGTCTGAGTGATTGCTGGACCCACAGTAAGAGGAAGTCTAGTCTGTCAAAGAAGCTTATTGGAACATCTCTGAGGGTGAGATTTACCTGCATTTAGTTCCTTACTGTATTAGGCTTAGAGTTGCGTGTTTTATTTTATTTTGCTTCATAATTCACTTTGTTCTGTCTGTTATTACTTGGAACCACTTAAATCCTACCTTTTGTATTTAATAAAATAACTTTTTGCTTATTAATTAACCCAGAGTAAGTATTAATACCTGGGGTGGGCGGCAAACGGCTGTTTATCTCTCTCTGTCAGTGTTATAGAGGGTGAACAATTTATGAGTTTACCCTGTATAAGCTTTATACAGGATAAAATTGATTTATTTGGGGTTTGGACCCCATTGGGAGCTGGGTATCTGAGTGCTGGAGACAGGAGCACTTAGGCTGTTTTCATTTAAACCTGCAGCTTGTGGGGGTCGTGGTTCAGACCTGGATCTGTGTTTGCAGCAGGCAAGCGTGTCTGGCTCAAACAAGGCAAGCTACTGAAGTCCCAAGATGGCAGGGAAAACGGGCTCGGAGGTAATCCCAGCACATCAGGTGGCAGTCCCAAAGGGGTTTCTGTGACCCAACCCATCACAACTATACATGTGCTTTAACAGAAGTAACTGATGTCCTCATAATTCTAAGAGAGATTATTGCTATTTTAGTTTTTTAAATTTTTTTATCCTTTAACCCTTGCTTTTCTAAAGCACCTGTTTGTAAACACTTAATCACTATGGCCACAAAACATTCCATGCTCAGTAAAACTGAACCTATATGAATTCTTAGACAAATATTGTTTTATGATGATGACAGCAGAAATGCATTTCAGTGCATTTGTTCAATCTGAAAAGAGGAAAACATCCTGTTTTTAAAGAAAGATTATGGTCCCTTAAAATGTTTAATTTATATTAAAGGCTGAGTCTATCTATACGACTGTCTTATTTTTTATAAACACTTAGCAATAAAACCACCTAAAAAAACCTTATCAGTCCAATATGTAGTAGGACATGCGCTATCCACACAATCACTTTATAGTGCATGTCCTTTAAACACCATGGCCAAAATTTTCATTCAGTGACATTTGCATTGCAAAAAACAGGCCATTTTTATTTAAGTTCCTAAATATAGATTTAGGAGGCAAACTTTACATACTCATGTCTGAAAATTTTTGCCACTGCTATCAGGATGGATTGATTTAGATCAAAGTAATTTAAATGAGCAAGCAGGAATCCTTGATATAAATAACTGATTTTAATCTTCTTTTGCCTTTATAGTTTTTAGTTATTTTCCTAAAGAAATGTTGATTCTCTTTGGTTGGTTGAATGACCAACCATTAAAACATGTTGATCTTCAACTAAAGATAGTCTTTATATTAGTTACGATACGTCTTTGTTGCTAACCAGAAGGATACGCTATATATATTTTAGCAATTATATGCCTTAATATACATTTATTCAGATTTGAAATTTTTACATTTTTATCATATATTACTGAATGAAGAATTATGCATTTCTTATTTACTATATGAGTAATTTTTGTACTCATGATTTGTATCCAGCTGCATTTGGATGAAAATTGGAATTCAATTAAATGCACAAAAATAGTTATTTTAAAATTATTAGTTAAATAAAAACTACCTTAAACACATAAGAAAAAATAAGTCTATTCAAACAAAGATTTCTATCTAAAACTAACTGATTTATTAAACAAAAGTATTATCTGTAGTTAGTGAAGTGAACGGATTACTTCTGGTCACCATGTCCTTCAAGATTTTAGAACTAGTAGATCTCATCTTCTCAGACTTTGTTTTATTCATAGATTGGAAGAGTAAAACAAGGTTTCCTGCTTTTTCAAATCCCAATGTGTTTCTCAACTTTGAATGAACTAGTCATTGAACTAATCTAGTTCAATAAACTAAAATGAAGATAATATTCTCTCTGTACTGCAGAAGAGTCTATTACTGTCAAATCTGGTCCAGCACTTAAACTCTGGCTTCAGGTGCTTATCCAGTGACTTCTACCAGCTCAGTGGTTTGACTATCCTTAAAACTGGCAGCAGACATGTACTGCTTGAATGTTTTTATTGAATGTATATATATTAATATATAATAAGTTTAGGACATAATATAGGTTGTCATAATTTCAAATATAATTTTAAATGGGTTTACTTTTTAAAAGAAAAACATTTAATTTAAATTAAAACATCCAATTACATTAAAAATCTGCATTTTTTTTAAATCATCAATTTTTATCCATGGTACTGGATTTTATTGGTACTGTGGTGTAAATTAGAGAAAAATTAGTATTGTATTTGGAATTTTCACAGGATCTCTGCTTACAGTATTATATTAAAATTAGGGCTGTCAAGCGATTAAAAAAATTAATCGTGATTAATCGCACTGATAAATAATAGAATTCCATTTATTTAAATATTTTTGGATGTTTTCTACATTTTCAAATATATTGATTTCAATTACAACACAGAACACAAAGTGTACAGTGCTCAGTTTATATTTATTACAAATATTTATATTTATTACAAATGTTTTTCAATTCACCTAAGTACTGTAGTGCAATCTCTATCATGAAAGTTGAATTTACAAATGTAGAATTATGTACAAAAAAAATCCACATCAGAGTGTTGTTCTTTTAAGACTTCTGAAAGCATGCTTCACATCTCATTCCTCTCAGATTTTGGAAGGCACTTCAGATTCTTAAATCTTGGGTTGAGTGTTTTAGCTATCTTCAAATTTGACAAAATGCAAATAAGATACCAATGTGAAATTTCTGAAGTGAAAGTGTTCTTTAAACGAACAACACGTGCTGGGTCATCATCTGAGACTGCTGTAACATAAAATATATGGCAGAATGCAGGTAAAACAGAGCAGGAGACATACAATTCTCCCCCATGGAGTTCAGTCACAAATTTAATGAACACATTTTTTTTAAATGAGCGTCACCAGCATGGAAGCATATCCTCTGGAATGGTGGCTGAAGCATGAAAAGGCATCTGACTCTTTAGCACAGTTGGTATGTAAATATCTTGTGACACCAGCTACAACAGTGCCATGCAAACACACCTGTACGTGAGAACAGGTGACATTGTAATTAAGACGTGAGCAGCATTATCTCCCGTAAATGTAAGCAAACTTGTTTCTCTTAGCGACTGGCTGAACAAGAAGTAGGACTGAGTGCACTTGTAGGCTCAAAACAATGTAAAACTTTAGTTTTTGAATGCAGTTATGCAACAACAAAAGCTACATTTGTAAGTAGCACTTTCATGATAAAGAGATTGCAATATAGTACTTGTATGAGATGAATTGAAAAATACTATTTCTTTTATTTTTTACAGGCAAATATTTGTAATAAAAAAGAATATAAGTGAGCACTGTGAACTTTGTATTCTGTGTTGTAATTGAAAGAGATATATTTGAAAATGTAGAAAAGTCATCCAAAAATATTTAATAAATTTCAATTGGTATTCTATTATTTAACAGTGCGATTAATCACGGTTAATTTTTTGAGTTAATTGCATGAGTTAACTGCGATTAATCGACAGCCCTAATTAAAATATGGTATGTCCTGCATATTATCACAATTGTACAAACTGTATACTGTATTTTGGGTGGTTGTAGCTGGTAAATACACTATTTTTCCCCCAACTATTATGTGAAAGTCTGCAGACCTGTGCAAGTTAGTAAGTGGGTGTAAGGTTTAGATCAGTGGTTCTCAAAGCCGGTCCGCTGCTTGTTCAGGGAAAGCCCCTGGCAGGCCAGGACGACTTGTTTACCTGCCACGTCCGCAGGTTCGCCGCTCCAGGCCAATGGGGGCTGCGGGAAGCAGCGCAGGCTGAGGGATGTGCTGGCCGCCCTTCCCTCGCCTGGAGTGGCGAACCGCGACCAGTGGGAGCCGCAATCGGCTGAACCTGCGGACGCAGCAGGTAAACAAACCGGCCCGGCGCGCCAGGAGCTTTCCCTGAACAAATGGCGGACTGGCTTTGAGAACCACTGGTTTAGATTACTTCCCCAGGCACACTGGTTTAGATTCGCTGGCTGGAGTTTTGAGTGGAGCAGAGCAAAGTCTTTGTCTATACCCCATCCTGATCTGCCCGAATGCACAGAAAAGAGAGTAGCCTCAGAGGCTGCTCACCTCTTTGCACCTTTATGAAATGCAGGTAGCTTCTCAAAGGGAACAGTGGGCTTCTCAAAATAACAGTCTGGCTCCTGATCTGTTCCCGCTACCCCTTGCCCAGGGCTTATGACAAAACCATAACTAAGCCATTTATCTGCAGGCTTTTCAAGACAAGGACCACATCTTGTCTTTTTCACTTGGCAAAGCAACTAGAATACCTGTGGAAACAGTACACATGCTCAATACGGAGTATGAAAATACAGACTGCAGTGGTTCCAGGTTTATAAGCACATGGTTTTTCGGACTGTATTACTGCTTACATTTAAATTCATTTTATCAATCCTTAAGGTTTGGTTTGACACGATTATTCCCATCTCTCATTGGTACTTACAGATCTGTCCAATTGGCTGTGGCATCCTGAGGTACGGGCTTCCTCATGGCTGCTGCTCCTTAGCTCAGTTGAAGTGCTATTCAGAGCTCCATCATATCTTCCGTTTCTTAAGCCCACGGGAACTTACTGCCTACCTGCTCTCCCAACCTCCACTCCCCTTTCCTTTTGAAAGGCAAACAACAAAAGGGCTACTATTTATCAGCTCTTCATTTGATTTCCTCCGAGTAAATCAAGAGCAGCCCCTGGCTGTGAACTGGAGTTCCCAGGATTTTATGAGTGTTATGACCCATGGTATTACTACTATTTTTAATCTCATTAATATTGACAAACCAAACAGGTTTAGTCACTAGACAGATTTCTGATCAATAAATTACTCTGTTTAACATGGTTCAAAGTTAAGCTTTTATTTGGTTTTAAATTAAAAAAATAAATTTTGTTATTAAATGGGTCTAACTAATGTTTACATATTAGTTTACTTGCTTTAGAATACCACCAGAGAAACAATTAACGTATACCACCCAAACAAAAACCTTTGTTAGAAAGATCAACAGTGGCATAATTCAGTTAAACTGGAAAAAAAAAGTCTTAAATGTTTACAATGAATGTTAGAAGTAAACCTCTGGTTTTAGTGCCATCCAAATCTAATTGCCATCTCAAAGTCTGTTGTATTCAGGATACTATACCACAGTGCTAATGTCATCAGCTTCTTCTGGTTTCTTTTGCCTGCTTGGCAGGGATTTTAAGTACTCAAGGTGCCTTCTTGCATCCTCTTGATTTTGCCGCACATAATAAACTACATAGGATATCACCATGGTGAACCAGCCAAACATGGTGACTAGCATGGCATAATCAGTAGTCTTTTTAGGAAGGTTACAAAGATCTGCATCATTGGCAGCATTGAGGAATGGTCTCCCAGCATGTTCATCTAACACAGAAGTCTTGCAGATGACGTTGTTGGCTGTTTCATGGTTGGACGCCATGCTCCTCAGGACCTGCTGCAGAGTACAGTCACAGTGCCAAGGATTGTTTGCAATTCTGGCTCTGGCTTTTAAGTTATTGAAAGCATTTTTGTGCACACTTTGAATCCGGTTGTCAGACAAGTCCAAAGTCTGCAAGGTTTCTGCCACTCCTTTAAAGGCATGTTCATCTATAAATTCAATACCATTTTTGGATAAATTGAGGACTCTCAGTTGATGCAAGTCCTTAAAAATTTCATTTGGGATGGATGTTATCTGATTGGAGTCCAAATAAAGTAAGACTGTTTCAGGAGGAAGATCTCTGGGTATTTCCTTGAGATTTGCATTGCTACAACTGACATTTAAACCTCCAGAATGAGAACAAAGGCAGCCTTTTGGGCACATACTGGCAGAATGAAAGCACAGTATCATGAGGACAAAACTTTGTAAGAGCAGACACATGGAGAGGGAACGAGTTAACCACAGGTCTACCAAATGCATGCTGGGATGTCAGCATAATCACACGACCATTTCTCATTTACCCAACAGTGGTGGTAAAAGATTCTGTACAGCCAAAGCGTAGCTTCATTTTCTTCAGCAGAATTAGCAAAAATGGACTAATAGGTGGACTTCCTCATGGTCCGTATTCTTCTTAAAAATATACCTAAGGAGAGAAAAAAGGTTCCTTAGATCGTACAATACAATCCAGATTAGTTCATTTCAAAGGAAATAAATGTAATGTAACTGAAAAGTAATGCACAATGGTCTATTATCCCATCAGCGCACAAGGGATTTACTCATTTAACTCCTATTAGCATTAATCTCAGTTTAATACTAAAATTGCAGCACATCTTTAAAAGATAGACCACAACAGTTCTGAACTGCAGAGGTTTGGGTTTAATATCAGACAATTATTACAAGAAACAGTAGTTTGTTTTTATCACAGACTTACTAAAATAACAGCCATAAAACATAATTACATTTTCTAAGTTACAATAGAAGGCACATTAATAGGATTTACAGTTCAACACCAGCAAGAGTGACAAATAACGCCAGTATTTTTGTGGTTAATGACCTCAAAATGAAATATTTCCTATTTTAAGTCCAAATTAGAGAATTTCCTTGAGGAAACATTTTTCTGAATGAATGCACTCATTATAAAAACAACTGAGACAAATATTGCTGGAAGGCACAGCACAAATCCATATTTCATGTGTGTATTTCCCCCCTCAATTCCATTTTTGCTTCTGAATGTTTTGAGTCTTCTAGTTCACGGAATGTTGCTAGAGATTTCTGGAGAGTTCTACAGAAATAAATTTCATCTTCCATTTTCTGTCTAAAAAGATTTATTGTATATAAGTAACATACAGAAAACAAATAAAACAAGTACAAACAAAAGAGACTCACAGTACCATGTCTGTGCAATAAACAAAAACTCACTCGAGGTATACTATATCCCAATGGAAGATAAGAAAATGATTATTCTCTCCTAAGCCCTCTTCAGAGGGGAAAAGATGGAAATATGCAGAAGCATATTCCTTTAACAGAAACACAAATTCGGACTATGATATGTTGACCTATAAGGATTCACAGACCACCTCATTATTCCCCCCTCCTCCCCATTTGCTAAACCATGAATTGCTAATCATTCCAAGCCCATTTGTTTTTATTCACACACTTTCTAGTCTTTTAGCAGCTCATACATTTTCAAGCCTTCTGAGTCATATTTACATATACATGATATTTAACATGTAGGGGAGTCCAATGAAAACTGAAATCCCTATAAGGAGGGATTTGTTAGATTCCATGGGGAACAGAGGATATCTATATTGCAATCACTTCTGATTCTCTTTCTCAATCAACAATCTCAGTGCATGGTATTTTGTAAGAATTAATGACTAGCTGATTACAATGTTGAGCCCTTTCTGAGGCGAAGATGGAACAGGGAGGTGCTAACGTTGGCAGCTCCATAGTGTGGGTCTGCCACCATGCCTGTGATGGTGGTGGGAGCTGCTGCAAGAGTAGGGTTACCATACGTCCTCTTTTTCCCAGACACATCCGGCTTTTCGGCAGTCAAACCCCCGTCCGGGGGGAATTGCCAAAAAAGCCGAATATGTCCGGGAAAATGGCGGCTCTGCTCCTCCCCGACTCTTCGGCTCTGTTTAAGAGCCGGGCTGCCCGAGCGCTACCGGCTTCGGGCAGCCCCCGTGCCTCCGGACCCTGCGCCGCCGGAGCCCAGGAGGGGAAGTGCCCGGCTGGGGGCGCAGGGTCCGGAGGCATAGGGGCTGCCCAAAGCCCGAGCGCTACCGGCTTCACCGTTTGCCGGGCAGCCTCCAGACCCTGCTCCCCCAGCTGGGCGCTTCCCCTCCCGGGCTCCAGCTGCGCTGGGGAAGCGCCGGCTGGGGGCGCAGGGTCTGGGGGCTGCCCGGCAAACCCTGAAGCTGGTAGCGCTGGGGCAGCCCTTTCCCCCTGGCTGGGAGTGGGAGGGAGGAGGGGGCGGAGTTAGGGCTGGGAAGGGGCGGATTTGGGGTGGGGAAATGGGCGGGGCCAGGGCCCGTGGAGGGTCCTCTCTTTTTTATTTATGAGATATGGTAACCCTATGCAAGAGGAATTCTTCTCCACTAGGTCAGTCAACAACCCCATGGTCCCTGCCAGCTACTCCAGCAGCACATGAGGAGGTGGACAAGCTGCTACTGCACTGAATAACTGCAGCCCTCCTCTCCCCACCAGAGCCTGCTTGCCCAGCCCCAGCTTGGAGCATGAAGAGTTGACACAGGCCCTGCACACTACTAAGGAAAAACCGGCTGCCCTGACCTTCCCTGCCCACCCATAAGTCAGGGCAGACCCATTTCCCCACCACATAACAGGTAGGAGAGATTTATGTTCCTTCATTTTTTCGTCTGACCATAGGTTGAATTAAAACCTATACAGAGAATTCCCATCACAGCAGTATTTGGGCTCAAATTAAATTAAACAGTGCAAGAACATTCTCCAAAAATAGGGAACAGGTGCTGATTCTTAGAATACACCCCACTCTTCACGAAGAACCTCACCTCTCACAGAAACAGGAGGATGCCAAAGAAAGAGAACCCTATAAGCAGTGGGACACTAACACACACAGTCAGAGAAAATCCTGACAACAAAGCATGGCCTAGAAGTGGAAAGGCTCAGGCCCTACCATGCACTATATATCCTTTTCACTGTGAACTTGTTTCTTCCTGCCAAGTATTTCTTAATAATTAAAATGACTGTTTCTCCACTCCTTCCTGTGAGCCATACCATGTACCATAAACAAGGTCACTGGTACTGACATTAGGTCACTGATCTGGCTCAGCATCACAAAGGTGATAAACATGGTCTTGCTACCTACTGCTCATACACTGCAACTTTTTACTAATAAGTAATACTGGAATCCTTACTACAGGAATACCCAACAGCAATAAGACTCCCCCTTCAAGCTGTTTCAAGTGGCCTGCAGGCATCTCAGTTGCTGATTTCACAGCAACATAAGCATTATCATTGTCCTCCTCACCAGGGCCTGAGGCTCAAGCAATACATATATTAGCCTGTATTGAAATGAGTATTCAATATATCCTGGTGGGAAAACAAAGCATAAATTGATTGTTAGCATATACCTGGATGTACAGCTACAACAGTGTTTTCCATAACATGAGTTAATATCAATAATATGGTTATGAAAGTGCAAGAATTAGCTTTATGAACTGTGAAGCATTTGATAGTTATCAATCCAATGAAAAATAATTCGTCAGACAACAGATGCATGGCACCATATTCGAACATGATGTTACCTGACTACTGTTTAATGAATGCAGAATATTAATTATAATGGTAATAGTCTGCAAGCAATTCCACTTACATAGCTCTCCAAAAGGATTCCTGCTATGTCTCCATGTCTAAGATCCTGAGAGTCGTGTACAGGAAAGTAAGAGGTGGGTGACACATTTCAAAGAGAGCTGGAGTCCACCCAAGCAAACAGGTTCACAAATGCCATGCTGAACTCCAAGAATGCTGATAAGCATCATGGTGCAGAATAGCAGCAAATGTTTCTACTTTCCTGCCCCCTGAACGTTACTCTATAGTGACTCTGGCCAGAGTGGTCACAACCCTACAAATTGCAACTTGAGAAATAATGTGATCGTTATTCTAAGCTCAATGTACTCTTGAGACTGCTGACAAAGGTTATGCAGGAGGCCAGTTATGACTACTGCTCGTTGTGCTAAGATATGCTTGTTTTAACTTTACATCCTCCACACCTCTTTCCTCACCACTTAACCCCTCATTAGTCCATTTCATCCACCAGTTATGTTCTTTTGTAACCTACTTTGTAAGCTCTTTGAAACAGGTACTGACTTTTTAAGTATTCTGCACAGTGTCTAGCATTATGGAGGGATGATCTCTGATTGGAGTCTGCCGGTGCTATGGAAATACAAATAAATAAATAATAATAAAGAAAGCATCTAATCCAAGTAGCAGACTGATGTAAAGGACATGAATGCTTTAGAAATGTCCTAAACTTATTAATTCTTATTACATTATTCATACAAAGAATTATCCTCACATTTGTGTGTTCTTCATTGTCAGCCAATAAAAGCAACAATCAGCAATCTCAGTGCATGGTATTTCTTAAGAATTAATGACTAGTTAGGGATGACAGTCCTTAGCTGTACCTTTTCCTCCCCTTTCTCTTCTATACAAATGCTACAAGTCTAAATACTCAGATGGGTGAACTAGACTGCCTGGCATTAAATGAGGACATTGATAGAATAGGTCCATCACAGAAACTTGGTGGTATGACGATAATCAATAGGACCAGTAATACCAGTGTACAAAATATATAGGAATGACAGAGTAGGTCACATTGCTGGGGGAGCAGCACTGAAAAAAATGTGGAAAATTAACAAAAGCATAGAGTCAAATAAAGTAAAAATATTAAATGAATCAAACTCTACCACAGAATTTCTATGCTTAAACAATAAGAGTATAACTGTAGGAATATACTTATGACCACCTGATCAGGATGGTCAGTGATTGTTAAATGCTCAGGGACATTATAGAGGCTACAAAGGCAGGCAACACAATAATGGGGGATTTCAGCTATCCCCATATTAGCTGGGAAGGGATGCATAGATAAAATTTCTAGCCACCATTAATAACTGCTTCTTGGAGCAGCTAGTCCTGGAACCCACAAGGGGAGAGACAATTCTTTATTTAGTCCTAAGTGGAGCACACAGAATGTAGTCCAAGAGGTGAATATAGTGGAAAAACTCAGGAATAGCAACCGTAAAGTAATTAAATTTATCATCCTTGTTGGGGGAAAAATGTCAAAGAAACCCACCTTAGCAGCATTTAATTTCAAAAAGAGGAACGAAACAAAAATGAGGAAGGTAGTTAAATAGAAATTAAAAGGAACAGTCACATGGGTGAAATGCCTGCAAATTGCATGGAGACTATTTAAAAACACCATAATAAAGGCTCAAACTAAATGAATACCCGAAATAAAAAAGAAAAACAGTACAAGGATCAAAAAATGCCACCATGGCTAAACATAAGAGTAAAAGGGGCAATTAGAGGCAAAAAGGCATTGTTTAAAAGCTGGAATTCAAATCCTAGTGAGAAAAATAGAAGGGAATATAAATTCAAGTA